AGTAGTAATATTCACCATATGCATCAGGTTTCACCTTCTCTGGCCCGATCAGAGCTCAGACTAAAACCATACGTTATTTAATATTCTTACTGAAGTGAACAACAAAGAGTTCTCTCCTGAAAGTAAAGTCAACATAAAACTGAATTGGTGTGAAAGTTTCTTCTAAAAAGGTCCACAGATATGTAACCATTTAAAAGGAAGTAAGAAAAGTTTTAAAGAAAGGAAATCACTGACAAAATCAATCTCATAGGAATCGTGCCTCATTAAACCGTCTAAAATTTTATTTTGTGTGTCAACATTTACCCATAATGCATCAGGTTTCACCTTGTCAGCGCCTATCCCTCAGAGCTCAGTATAAAAAAACCATCAGACTTAACTTCTCAGCGTGTTAAACCAGCTCCAGATTAAGGGTCTGATGGTCTGCTGTTGGGAAGATACAGAGGGATTTTCTGTAGTAAAGACAGATGTTTAAGAGGAAGTGAAGGGATTCTGACTCCACACAGGAGCTTTAGCTTTGTCAGCGCTGTTAAGATTTGGCCTCATGAACTCCATTTCTTTAATTGGAATATGGCAAAGCAGGCTCATGTGAATGTCAGAGGGTATGTGAGGACCCCGCCTCTTATATTGTGTGCTTGTTCAGAGATTGTCTTGATTTTGACAGGTAGATAGTTGGGGTAACTTTTGACTGTGACATAAAAAAATGTAACACAGAAACTGAAGCACAAATGGTCAATGGACTTGAGTTTATATAACGCTTTTCTAATCTTCTGACTACTCAAAGCGCTTTTACATTCATGTCACACCCACCCATTCACACACTGATGGTAGTGATCGCTATGTAGTATCATCCATCAGAAGTAACTTCATACACCGAAGCAGAGAGAGCAATTCGAGGTTAAGTGTCTTGCCCAAGGACACATCGGACATGTTGCCCAGCTGGGGATCGAACCCTCAGCTCTACCAACTGAGCCACAGCCGCCCAAGTGACCAAACGTTTCTAATACAATTACTACTGACCTTAAACTATTGACAAATCTAAAATGAAATGTCCACTGATACCTTATTAATGTGCATTGTCAGACAATGTATTTTTTATTTATTTATGGTTTCTATCTAAAAAAGATGCAAAAGTGTTGACTGAGCCTTTCTGCCAGGACAGATGTGTATATACGGAAAACCTTGTGGAAATATTTGAACACCACATTTCTTTTTTTTTTTTTTACAAAAATCTCACTTTTTTGTGTTTTCATTTGCAAAAGGATGAGGCGATGCAAAGCGCTCATGGGGGTTGTAGTTTCTGAAATGTAGAGACTTTTCTTGAACCCTGATCTATAAAGCAGTGTTTGAATATTACTGAATATCTTATCATCCAGTAGGCCTTCAGTGGTTCATTTTGCATGGACTCTTGACAGGAAACCCTCTAAATTACATTAAAGAGTCGAGTGAAACAGAGTCAGTGTTTAAGTTCTTCATGGACTGTTAATGTTTTATGACCATTTGGAGCATTTTCATCTTGAACGATGAAGAAAGCTGTAACTAATCAAACAGATTAACAGCCAATCCAGTTATTTTTCAGGTCAGTTAATACACTAAGAATCTCAACTACTTAACTGTAAATGATGTTCATATAAAGGTGTTTACGTCTTTGTTTGTAAGCAGTAACAAAGCTATATTTTCAGATGTGCTCAGTCTCTTTGTTTTGGCGATTGTAACCCAACAGCTTCCGCCCTTCACTCACACCCAAATGACTGAAAATATCTGAGCTCAATTTGACACTTTAATATATCTTTGCTAATTGGCACTTAAGTAATCATAAAGATCTTTAAAAAAAAAAAGACAGAGGCTCATGTTTCATACAGTAGTTACTTAACACATGTGAGTGATCCTCCCTGCAGGTGAAAGCTTGTCACTTTAACTCAGCTCTTCCAGGAAACTTCCACCCTCCCCTTATGATCTCTGCTATACTTCAATCCTACAGTGTGTGAGTTTTCTCTCCTATTCTCTCACTCTTCTTTTCTTTCTTATTCTCTCTTCTTCTCTGACACTCTCTCCAGTTTTTCCTCACTTTTTTTTTTCAACACATAGGTGGATTAAGGCAGAGGGGCTTTTGTTTAGATAAAGCGAAGGATTAGGGAGAGATTTGCCCCCATAAAGTTGTGGGCTTAATGGGCCTTTTATCCCTGCATGTCCCTAAAGCTGTGTTGCCTCTGGATTAGGACTACACAATGGGGCCCCTTGTGCAGAAGGATCCGGGCCAGAGAGAGAGAGAGAGAGAGTGAGAGGAGAGGGAAGGCAAGGAAAAGAAATGAGACAGAAGGACTGAGACAAGGGAGAAAAGAGGGCAAGAAGAAAGAGTGGAGGGGATGGAAAGAGAGAAAAAAAAGAGGAGGAATTATGCAGCTTTTTAGATGAAACTGACAGGTTGAAAACTTTGAGAGGAGGGATTTGCCCAGGAGATCCTGGGATCGTGTCACCAATAAAAGGGATTTCAAGAGGATTCAGAGGCGTGGTGCTGACAATAAAACTGCAAAATTATCGCCTTCCTTTTGAATTCATTTATCTAATACAGCCTCTATTTAAATAATAAATAAATACCAACGGGTCTGGCTGTGAAAGTGCTGCTAATAACGTGTCTAAGAGGTGGCTCCTGGCAAATTGCTTTGTTATTCTTGTCAAAAAGGGTCTCCTGCAAGAAGTCGATTTTAAACTACACATCAAAATGATTAATTGCCGTGGGATGAACAGATGCTGAAATACCCTTGAATGGAGGCAGGGAGGCTGAGGCCTGCTGGATTGCAGACTTAATGTATTCATGAAGTTGCAGAAACATCATTAAGAGTATTAATTAGCTTTCAGAGAGCAAAAATCACAGAATTAAAGATCTTTTTGTTGTTTTGTTTCCCATCAAATGCAGGTTAAAACATAAAGAGAAAGTTTTCTTTTAACATCTGTGCAAGTTTTTTTTTTTTTGGGGGGGGGGGGCAAAAAGGGTTCAACCTGACAGCAAATCAATAAAGGAACAGCAGACATTTTTCCTGCAGAAATAATTTACAGTATTTTAAAGGTAAAAATTCACTTTAGGTAAGGGGATTTTGCCATCTGAACATTTTTAAATGTTTGGCTGTTTATCATGGAGGTCATTGTTCCTGCACCTTATATTCATGCCTGGCCGGGTCCAGGGGAAAGGGGAGCAGTTTTTGGGCGTTTAAGCCCCTCAGACGCGCTGGACAGCTCTAGTCTCTCTAAGGAGCTTTAGGTGGAGAGGCGCTGAGAAGAAACTCTTTCTCGCTTTAATTGCTTTAGAGACGGTCCTCACAAAGAGACAGTGGCCAGATTTACCTCCCGTTTAAGTTCTTATTTCCATTGGTTCACAAGTTAATCCTCTTTCTTTCTCAGACCTCGGAGGAAAAAAAAAAGCGAGTGATTGGAGCAGAAACCAGAGAGGCACACGAGTTTTTCTGGGCAAGAGAGACACTTTGAAGAGCACATGGAAAAAGTTTAAGGTGTTTCAAGAAATAATTAATAACGCACCACGAGAAGATCATTTAAATAAGTCAATTAGGCCTACACCAGCTAATAATAATAATAGTCTATTAATAATAATAATAATAATAGTCTATTAATAATAATAATAATAATAAACCGTGTATGAACCAAACTAAATTAAAATGACGTTGCGTGGATTAATATCCAAATAACCACGTGAAAAACACCACTGACACTTTGTCCTCATGACTTAATTTTATTTTGTATAATAATAGGCTGTTAAAAATCAAAGTTAGAAACCAGATCAGGTGCCTGGTTTACGTAAATACTATTTTTTTTAACGTAAAATTTGACAGCTTTCGTGAAAAGCACCTATCTCACCTTGACTGTCCTCACACCTTTCCCTCTGTCAAACAGACCCACGCAGCCACTAAATTTCGAATTTATTTCACAGTTGTCCACAACCACCGATGGTCTAAAAACAGCGCTTTGGGTCAAGCTTTCACTTTGCGTTAAAACGCATATTAATATTCCATGCCATCCTTTGTCTACTGCTCAAATGTGTGAAACATGGTCAGAGATAAAACTGCGTCATTGGCCAAACACTTTCCCAACAAAATATGCAAGCTTTACATTAAAAGGCTACTTTGCGCTGCCCTTAATTCCCCACCTAAACGGTTTTGCTCCGGGAGAAGAAATCTGCTCTAAAAACCCTTCAAGAAGAGAAGGGCATTATTGCCCTAATCCTCTTACCCGCAGTCATTTTAAGACAGGGGTTTTTGGAGGCTGAGATGGCGTCTTGTCTTCCCTATCCCATCCCAAATCCTTCCAGGCCGGGAGAGAGTCTAAAGGCAGCACCCTGGCATCTATTAGCCATCTCTCCAAAGTCTCTCTCTCTGCTCCATGGCATGAAGGGGAATCCGAAAAGCAAACAAACTAAAGGTTGGTTCCTTTTCCCCACAAAAACTAAGGAGAGCCAACTGGATTAAAGCTCCAAGTGCCTTTTGACGATGGAAGCCTTTTGAAAAAAAAAAGAAAAAAAACACCAAAAAAAACATGCGTATGCCTTTTTTTATAGATGCCATTTGGTTGAACGTCGGAGTGTCTTCTAAATAGTATAGCCTTGATTTGAATGTAGTTTTATTTTATATAGCTGTGAAATTACGTAACAGAAACATAGCCTATTTAAAGTCTAGGAAAACAGCCCAAAATAATACTTTTTTTTTCTTTTTTGCAATTAAATGTTCATTCATGTATACCAAAAATCAATCTACTATTTTATCCACAAGTGAGTAATGTCACTTGTCATATTTCGGTGATATTTATCATTTAAAATAGATAATTAAATAATGTGTAGACTCGGGGGGATAAAGCGGACAGAATTGACTTAAACTTCTCATAACTCTGGGAGTCAGAGCGCCAGAGTCCACCGCTGGACGATCTGTTATCTTATCAACCTGACTGACAGCACAAGGAACCAATAGGAAGCCACCATGACCCCCGCAAAGCTCTCCTTAAAATCCCACCGCCGGGCTCTCGCGCACCAGCAGATGGCGGCTTCCCACTCGTGCGCAAGACGTGCAGAACAGAGCACGAGAGGAGAGCAGGTGGAGCGCGAGCAGGACGGACTTGAAGTGAAGCAACAGACTGGATGACTTTTTACCTCACTGACGGACAAAAGGAGGAAGACAGGGCTATATTGAAAAACAAACACATGGTGGGTTGAAGAGAAGAAAACAAAACAATCCGAAACCTTAAGAAGTTCATCTACTCGGAGTCTTCTGATATCTGTGGAAGAACACAACTGTCTCTACAAGAGGTAAAGGCTTATTGCCATGTTTTTGTTCATTTAAACATAGTTTTTTTTTTTTTACATGTTGATTTTCTTTACAATTCTTTGGTGTTGTTTAAAACTGGTTTACTTTAACACTGTAAAAATAAGCGTCTCTAAATCGGAAAAAGCTAAAGTTGACGGTGTTTAACGTCGAACCAAAGCCTGTAACAAATGTTCACTTACTATTAGAATTGAGCATTTCAGACATCCAGCCTCTATATTGTTATACTAACAAGGTAATTTTCAAGTTTGAAGGTGTAACCGTAAATACGACCTGACCCCTTTAGCCTTTAACAGACAAAATCCAGCCTACAAAATACAACAAAAATAAAAGCATCGTTTCCAGCTAATTCATCTTAAAGTGTCAATTTTTAATGCTCCAGCATTTAAATGCAATAACCTCCTCAATAGTAAAAAGGGGTCTTCTTGATTCTGACAGGTTAGCAGCCTGGTCTCTTCTTAATTGTATTTTATCTCTAAAATTACCATTAGGCCAAGCTACTCATAAGATATAGGCTTTTTTTTTTTTTTTTAATCGAAAACTATGTGTTTTATTTTTTTTCACATGAGTTGGATGCTTCTCTTTTGCATTTTTATTTTAATTTAGCCTTACAACAATTATTGCCATCACACGCTGTTAAAATATTCCAACATGTAAAAGCCTAAAATAAAATAGCAGACATCAAGACACCTATATCTATCTATATCTGCTTTCTGCACATAAATTATCTTTCACACTAACATCACAGAGCCAAAATCACAGAGTCGTCCCTCGCCCTCTGACAGTTTACACTGTGACACAGCAAAGAGCAGATTGTCAGCTTGACTCCTGCCCCTGGGGGCTGTTAGCAAATAACATTTTTCCTCATTTAGCCGGATCAAAGAGTTGCACTGTACATGCCAATTTACATAATGACGGTTTGATAATCGAAGCATTGAGCAGGGCAGCCAGGAGGGCCCAGAGCCTGGAGCACATAGGGGCTTATGAATGACAATAAGTGCGCTGACAGGCTCACTGTGATGAGCTATTGTGCTGCATTCGATATGGGACGGAGGATACAGGCTAGAACCAGAGATGTGTACAAAAGGTGGGAAAAGCTGGTAATCACGGAGAGGCAGGCTGGAGGCGAAAAGTTTACCTGTGTTCAAAAAAATGTTCAGTTTAAATCGTGATGTTCTTTAAATGAATTGTGAAGACAGTAGAATACAGAATACAAAAAAAAAATGGGCGTTCAAGTCTCTCACTTTTACCTGTGCATTCAGGCAGGTGTACAAAAATAGACTATAAGCTGTAGTCTTTATATCTAGAGACTCGCTGCCCTAATGTTGGCTATTTCCTCTCGTGTAAAATGTTATTTTGATTTGAGGCTTTATAAAAAAAAAAGAAAAATCATATATTTATCTTTAGAGCAGAGAAAAAAAAAGGCAGTCGAGGAAAAATCCAAGTTGTTTTTTTTTTTTACTGGGGCACATAGCATGCTTACCCACGCGCGCACACGCACGCACACGCGGGGAACTCCAACCCAGAGCTAAGCAGCCGGTCCCACTGTACGTCCGTCCGTGTCAGCGGTGATGATAAATGGAGGGCCTCGCAGTCGAAACCTATTTGCACTTCCATTAGACGGGGAGCCAAATGGGGATCAACATGCATATTTTTACCCGCGGAGAAGCCATACATCTCAGCCAAAACGTTGCCCGGGGGCGATGGGATAAGAGGCCGCCAGAGAGGGTGAGGGGAGGGGTGAGGCGTGAGGAGGAGGGGGGGAGACCATTCAACTCAAATACTTGGGGGAGTAAAGTAAATGTTTAGCGAAGCACCTTCTGTCCCGGCGAATTAAACTATTCCCAACCGACCTCTGATCACATTCATCAGCCGCCGCGGACACTTAATAGGCTGGGAATGGGCACTGCGGGCATTACACACACACACACACGCACACACACACACACACACACGGTCGTACTTAAAGCTATAGGACACACTTGCAGAAACACTGCCTTTTACAAGAACGTCAACTCAGTCCTTTCTATCTTTCAACGGTTCGCAACAGCCCTTTATTATTATTGTTTTTATTTACTAATGATTATTATTGTTTTTATTTACTAATGCATTATGGTATAAAAAGTAATGACTGAATAGGCCAAATGAATTTCAGAGTGGATTGCATTTGATTGTTACAAGAATGATCTAGTCGTGATATAGGCAATTCTTTACCACCAGTGTGTCTTTATCAAAATTAAAAGGTAGAACCTGCAGGTCAACACTTGTGAGTGATTGACATGGATACATTTAAAAAAAAAAATATTGAAGCCATATCCTGCAAAAATTGGACATTTAAAACATTTAAAAAACAATAAAAGCAAAATAGCAACTGTGAGTTATTTTCCTTAGTTTGTTAAAATGCAGCCTGCACAAAAATCAGTAAAACTACACAGGCTACAACAATAACGGAACATGTGTAATGCAAACCTGAAAATTGTATAAAAATAGTTACATCAATCCATGAAGGAATCCAGGTTCCTGGATTTTGTAACAGCATGTCATAGAGCAGAAAGATTGATATCTTCTGCCTGTGGTCTCTCTTTAATAGTTTTAATATCTGTTTGGGCCTCCGAGTGATTCCCTCCTGTCCGACTCCTCCCTGCTAATACATATCTAATCGTGTCCTCCAGCGTGAAGGAGAACTGCAAAATTGAGTTTGGAAAATGTAATGTAGGCATAATGTAAAATACTCTTAAAGGCTATAGATATTTTCCTTTACACAAATTGGTCTCCAAGTTTCATTAGAAACCTAAAATATCCCGGCCTGCATTTTAATTAATAACATCATTAAATTACCCAAATAAAATGTAAAGGCTTGTTTCAAATGTTGTAAAAACACATGTTAAGACCTGTAAAATTGAACAGAATATATTGAGAATACAATTTCCTAAATAATTGCCTATTAAATTATTATCCAGTGATCAAACTGCAGGTTTTTTTTTCCATCGAGACCCGGAACAAATCTCCTTATTTCATTTTCCAACACATTTCATCACCGCCCTGATCTGTCAAAGCAGCGTTTTCAGGGGGAGGGGGGCGGGGGATTTGGCTTCTCTAAGATCATAGAAACGTCGAGAATAAATTCATGAATAAAGCATCCGTCACGGTTCATTATTGGAACGAGTCATAATTACCCCAATTAAAAGTCTTTTGTATAATTAATGGATTGAACAGGGCGATAATTGGATGTTAATGGATAACACTTTGTCTGAGTGCGCACATTTAAATCTATTGGCCCTTGAGCGCGAGGACCTGCTGACATGTAGAAAGCTCGAGTGTTTTTTTTTAGCCTTTCAGATGGTTTAATAAACCAAAAACAGATTATTGTTCACCTTATAAAAAAACGGAGGTAATAGCTCACAGTGTAAATATGTCATTCTTCTTCTTCTCTCTCTGACCATTATCATCCTCTCCTCCGGTCCGCAGGTGGTGACCTCTCATCATGCAGCACTACGGGGTGAACGGCTACTCTCTGCACGCCATGAACTCCCTGAGCGCCATGTACAACCTGCACCAGCAGGCCGCGCAACAGGCGCAGCACGCGCCCGACTACCGGCCCTCCGTGCACGCGCTCACCCTGGCCGAAAGACTTGCTGGTAATTAAGTGCACGCTCTCACAAACAAAACAGATACTGTCATTCCTCAAAGAAGTAGCTGTGGTTGAGTCATGCGCAGTAAAATAAACCCTCCGTGTGTGTTTCCCTTCCAAACGGCTGCGCATTTCAAGACATCATCCTGGAGGCTCGTTACGGCTCTCAGCACCGCAAACAACGCCGCAGCCGCACCGCCTTCACCGCACAGCAGCTGGAGGCGCTCGAGAAAACTTTCCAGAAGACTCACTACCCGGATGTGGTGATGAGAGAGCGGCTGGCCATGTGCACCAACCTGCCAGAGGCCCGCGTGCAGGTACGACCCAATACAACAATAAAACAAAAAAAACATGTGACATGAAAAACTTTGTCCCCGAGCGGCTGGAATGCTTATGTATTTTTTTTTGTGAAGTCCTCTGTTTGCTCCTTTCTTTTTAATGATATTTTAGTTTTTTATTGGTAGTTTTTTTTTTACCTGTAGTGTCAGCCTATGTTTCTATTAAGGAGGACAAATTTGTTGTTTGGTATGACATTTTTTTTGGTTCAATTTAAAGAAATATATGTATCAAACACAATTAAATATGCTGTGCATTATATATAAAAAGGTTGCTAGATATTGTTTTGAAAAAGAAAAACTATTTAAAAAAAACATGTATAAGGGACTACTTATTGTGCATTGCTGGGAGAACTTTTCACTTGTACCTGTACAATGGAAAATGTGGGTTATTCATCTGAATACAACAAATGCTGACAGCAGTCTATATTCAAATATTATCAACACAACTAATTGAAGTTGGATTGAGCTCATTATCTTTTACATTTTAAGTTAAATATGTTACCGTCGTGTGGACATATCAACTTTTGGGTTTTCAGATGCAACTTAGTTATCTGATGTTTGAATCCCTCATGTAGAGTATGTGAGTGTCATCTTAACTCTTCCTTCACTGCTCTTCATCTTTTCATCCCTGTAATTCTTCCTCTTCTTCCCCCTGTGTTCAGGTTTGGTTCAAAAACCGCAGAGCAAAGTTTCGTAAGAAGCAGCGCAGCCTGCAGAAGGAGCAGCTCCAGAAGCAGAAGGAGGCATCAGGGGAAGGAGGAGGAAGCGAGAAGGAGGACGCACCTGCTTCCACAACTGTACTCCCTGAAACCCAGCTCCCTCCTTCTTCCTCTTCCTCTTCCTCCTCCTCTTCTCTGGAGATAGAGGGTCCTGCAGTCCATCCTGTACCTCTGGACATGGAGCTGAACGTCACGTCGGCTGAACACTCTGGCAGCGAGTCTGCGACAGAGGATAATACCACGGATAAGGAAGATGAGAGTAAATGTCAGAGAGAGGAGATGAAATGTGAGAGGGCGGTGACACCTGGGGATGTCTCTCCTGTTTGCAAAAGACTAAGTCCTAAACCAGGTAAGAACTTAACTCAGCTTAATTTATAAAAGTATGTCTATACAAACATGTAGATAAAAGTGCTTCACTTGGGTACAAACAGAGAATAAGAGTTTTTCTAATAATACCTGTGTTGATCAGCCTCTGATGTTGCCAAAAATGTGTTAATGGCTACTGATGTGAAGCCAATTAACAGTAAAACATCAACTGGGTTCAGGTCAATTATTATGTAACAGTAACACACAACAACAGAATGGTTTAAGGAATGAGTTTAAAGTTAATCAAAGCTAGCAAAATGTCATCATCAGTGTGTGTGTGTGTGTGTGAGAGACAAAAACGCCAACCATGACATTACTCCAAACTAAACATTAAATCCATGATATAAAAGTAGAGCTTACGTTTTTACAGAGGATAGTTGATCTGTTTTAATCCTTATCTTGATTCATGGCATCTCTTCATTCCCATCATTATATAATGTGATATTTTTTTCTCTCTGTCCAGACTCCCCGCTGGTCTCCCCTTCAGTGACCCCCTCCTCCTCCTCCTCCAGCGGCGGCCTGACCAGCAGTGCTCCTCTCCCTCAGAGCCACTCGTACTCCTCCTCCCCCCTCAGCCTGTTCCGTCTGCAGGAGCAGTTCCGTCAGCACATGGCCGCCACCAACAACCTGGTGCACTACCCTGCCTTTGACCTGGCTGCCGCCCCTTCTTCTCTCCCCTACCTGGGCATGAATGTGAACATGCCCCCTGCGCCGCTGAGCTCTCTGCCCTGCCAGTCCTACTACCAGTCCCTTTCCCATCATGCTCAGCAGGTGTGGAACAGCCCACTGCTGCAAGCGTCGGCTGCCGGCAGCCTCAGCAGCCACAACAACAAGACCACCAGCATCGAGAACCTGCGTCTGAGGGCCAAACAGCACGCCGCTTCGCTGGGACTGGACACCATGTCTAACTGAAAACCAGATGAAGGACAGTAAGAGGGAGTTTAGAGACTCGGCCAACACATCACCCCATCCTACTGCTTGTCTGTGTGATTGTCATAGCTCTTTAGGAACCATGGATTGGAGTCTCCTTGAGAACTTGGGTGCAGGACATCTAAATGTCTGAAAATAAAACATGCCAACATGCACTGGACCTGCAGGATGCCAACTTTTCAACTGAGACCACACTTGTTTGACTCCTTTAAGCTCCTGAAGCAGCTTTCAATCCAAAACCGTAACCTTGGGGAAAAGACAATCCCAAGAGATATCGAAAAATTGCCAGAAGAACACATTGAAGTGAATGTTCACTTCAAATGACAGTGAACGTATTCTTAACTGTTTCCTGAGAAGAAGTCTGCTGGACCATCGTAACAGCCGAAACGACTTTCAAAAATGTTGATGATGCACGCACTCAAAAACAATGCAGATAATGTTTACTAGAAAAATGTGAATAAATGAGGCACTTTCAAAGGATTTAGGCTCATTAGACAGCAGGGGGAAAAGGACCACCGACATTTCAATTAAGCAGCAGTTATGTACATAGCATGTACTACACAACAGCACATAAATAAAAATACATTTCAAGCCATTTTGTCCTCAACAGCGTAATTAAAAGTGACTAATTTACCGGTTTAATGGCCAGTATTATGCCACTTTGTGCGAAAGGCTGGCTGGATAATGAGAAAATGATTTCAGTGAGTAAATTCTCAAAGCTTTTAATTACATTTTGCCCCAGGCTGAGGGAGTCGGGGCAGACGCAATTATGAACATGAATACCATTTAAGACCAAATTTATAAATCCCTCAAGGTCTGTGGGCTGAAACGCTCAATAAAAGTAGACACACGCTGGGTATCACTTTCAAATCTGTTAAACAATTGGGAACATGATGGACACTAATGTAAACTGTTGAATAAATGTCTCCATTGTTTCTGGCCTTAAAATTCTCTTGAGGAAACATGCAGCTTTTTCCAATGAAAGCTCGGCCGACTGTTAGCACTTGACGAGGAGAATCACACACCTCTCTGATGTTTTCTGTTCATGTGATCTGGGAGCAACTATGAAAAAAAAGGCACATTATTTTAGTTATGTAAAATACAAAAAAGTCTATCTATTAATGTTCACTTGTAAGGTAATTGTAAAATTCCTAATATGTTGTATAATTGATAACGGTTCTTTAGCTGTCAGTATGCAAGATTGTATTTGCTGAGCACACCGGCAGCATGTCTACCCTCCTCTCCTGGTTTGTCTGTGTAATAATACGGGTTCAATTAACATCCAAATGTCTTCACTTTCTCAGCTTAAAAGATGCAACAGAAGAAGTTTGGGTTGTTAGAAAACTGCCACTTTCTGTATCTGAGAAACAGATCAATTAAGGAAAGTGAAAATATTTCAAGGAATAATTGACCCTCCTCCTCCTCCTCCTCTGTGTCCTGCTGTCTTGACTCTATTTGAGTTCTGTTGTTGCTGTTCCCCTCTCCCCGTCTGTCAGACTCGGTCCAGTGGTAGATATACTGTGTGTGTAAAGGAGGAGGAAAGAGTGAGTTGACCATCATCAGTGTTGTTTCCTCTCTAACAATGTAGACTTTGAACTAGTGTTGTTGTAAAATAATCACAAATAAAAACAGTGATGGGAGATCTTTATGATGACTTCTCTACGTGTGCTTGTTATGTTATTTATTTTATTTGATTAAAAATGTTGAATTTTAGAAGAAAAATAAAACAAGTACCGTTAATGAAGAGGTATCTTTATGTTGTTGTTAATTCAGTGAGTAAGCAAAGTTAAAAACACATGTTTGAACGAATAAACAATAAAAACTTGTAAATTCCTACTTTGCAAATGTTACATATATGAAAAAGCAAATGAATTTAAATGGAAATTATATGATTGCTATTATTATTATGAAATTGCTTGAGTGATAAAAAAAAAGGTGATACAGGTTAAATAAACAGCAAGAGGAAAAAAGTATTAAGACTATGAAGGGATGGGAAAAAGGGCAAATTAAAGGAACAATAAAAAAAAACCTAAATTATTAAGTAGAGTTTGCAGAAAGACAAAGAGTGAGGTCGCAGAAGAGACAAAAAAAAAAAACCTAATCTGAAAAACCTAAAATAAAAGAAATATCAGCAAGGAGACATAAGCCATCCCCAATGAATAAGCAGGCCATTATCCTGAAGAATGACGGCCCGGGGCAGTGATTATGCTGCTATTATATCTTTAACAGCATGGTTTGTCAAAACGCACAGACCTCCCCCCCCCCCCCCCCAAAACCCTGCCCCTACACACACGTGCCACTTGAACACCCCTACCATCTCCTCTGTAATGTGCCCTTGCTCTTCAGTAAACTAAACATACATACATATGTCGTCTGCTATTAATGTGGCCTTTCATATTAATGTCCCCACAGTGTGTGTGTAAATAACAAACACACTTTGGCTGATGCGTTGAGCAGTTTTATTTTCTCAGACTGTTATGGATGACCACAACACAAAAAAGGGATAATGATCTCGCCAGATTAGCAGCGTTAATGTGGGTGTAACACCTCACCCTCACCTTGTTGTGTTTTATTACACCATGAACATCTGTGTGTGTGTGTGTGTGTGTGTGTGTGTGTGTGTGTGTGTGTGTGTGTGTGTGTGTGTCCTCAGCCAAGGGCACCCTGATTGTGTGACTGATAAGATTGTGGTGTGGATATGCAGCAGGAGTGAATGTCCTTGTTATCCAGGGGAGGAATCTGTCCAGCTACACGGCACTATTTCCTCCCATGGGGCTCTGCAGCAGAGAACATAACCCACTACTCTTGTTCCAAATGTTCTCTCTTTTCATAACACCATCCCCCAAACACACACACGAAAATGCACATGCACACACACACGCAGCCTCGGGGTTGAACAGGGAATGCTAGATTGTACTGCTGCAGGGTCAAGTGTGTTGAGCCCTTGATGCTGGATCAGGTGCTTCCATCTCTAACACTCTGGGCTGTATATTCAACACTATACAGCTGTAATCGTCTAGTTAAAGGCACACACAGAACTCCATCTACTTTCCTTTAAGCAACTTATGACATGTGTGTATCTGAGTGTGTGTGTGTGTGTGTGTGTGCAGACAAAAAAAAAAGTCACCAAAGATTGTAATAGCATTATCAAGATACAAACCAAATACTTTGTGACATGGAAAACGTTTAAGATTTTAGTTCTCTCAACTTTAAAAGGTATTGGATCAAGATATAGCTAATGTGTAATATCTCTGCGTGATACACGAACTGTATCTCTATATTTACATGAATTAAGTTCTCTTAGCTTGAGACACAATTATTTTACCAGTGTTCTAACAGATATATATTTGTATCTCTGTGTAAAGTAAGACTTTAATAAGAGGAATAATCGAGTGTCTGCATAAGTGTTTAGCCCCCTAAATCTTTGCAGAATTTTCTCATGTTATAGCTGCTAATACAAATGTTTTTTTATTGGGGTGTCTTGTAAAGAATCAGCAATGACAAAAGTTTAAAATGTTGAAGTGGACATTTTTAATGGTACTATACATTATTTACAAAATAAAAAAAAGAAAAGCTTTGAATAATTTGCTGTAAAATATTTAAGAAACTGTGCAACCACCTACCTTCAGTTTAATATTTGTTCATCCAACAGTTGTCTGCTTATTACACTTCATGTTATCTATAAAACAATCAAAAGGCTCAAATAAGTCAGTTCAGTTTCAACAGAAAAAAAATTGGAAAAATCAAAGGGGATGAATACATGTAAGGTTTCATTTTGAAACGGGACCCACATCCCTGCTGGATTTCTGTATTTCTTGCTTTAACTTTCGTTCCCTTTTCACACACACACACACACACGCGCGCGTAGACACACACACACACACCCTCTGAGCAAGCACCCCACACAAAAATCACAGTGTACCATTCAATCAGTGCTTTTTTTTTCTCCCTCCTCTCCATGGTTCTCTTAAAGGTTTTAACCATGGCGAGAATGAAAAGTGCCAGCGTTAGAGAGCTCGCCCCATTGAAGAGGTGACAGGGTCTGCCAGAATATGATCCTAATCCTGTTTCCAGCATTCTTTTAGCCCACTGGCATCGCCATTTCGCAGCATATTCTCTGAGCTGTCAGGCCCGGGGAAATCCCTCTAATAGTGCATTGCTCAGATACACATCAAAGCCCTCCTGGAAACCAGCAGCAGGAACGTAAGGGAGAGGGAAGCACGAGTATAATCGGACTCACAGCTGCGCGCGCGCGCGCACACACACACACACACACACACACACACACACACACACACACACACACACACACACACACACACACACACACACACACACACACACACACACACACACACACACACACACACACACACACACACACACACGATGTTAACACAAAAAAATAAATGCTAAAAAATAAAGCTAGAAAAAAAACCTCTACTCAGTCATGACGCTTCAAAGTGTCAAAACTTCTCTAAAAAAGAGAAACAAAACAAGAATCCTTGGCTTTTTCGCCAAACTAATTTAAAGATTGAATCAGTTTGTCAGTTTAAAAAATAATCAGTCAAGAGAAAGATGAAAATCAGATGCAGAGATTTAGAAACAAGAACAAAAGTGATATCATGAGGGAAGTCAACAGGTGTCTAAACTGTGTATCCTGGGCCACCCTCCTTTAGTTCCACTTCATCTTTCATTTTCTTCTTGTCCTTTTTTTCTTAAACACTCTGACTGCCATCTCACCCCTCCCCGGGTAATCTTCTTAGGGAGAAGAAAAACCCCATTCTCTCTCCTTTTAATCTGGCTGCAGCCTAAACCTGCGGCTGCATTTTCAATGCGGGCCTCACTGAACTGTTTGGGAGGCTCTTGAGAGCCGGTTTCTGAAGCTCAGAGTCTGTCCGAGGATACTTCAATCAATAAGTGAGAATATGATTGGAATACAAACAAAGTAACTTAAAGGACGGTATGTTACTGTGAGGATAAACACCTTAAGCAATGAGAGAAGAAAGTGTGTAAGTATGTCATGCAACAACATCAGTGTTGGCCTGTGTAATCAGATTGTACTCTGATTGCATGTTTCTGCAAGAAATTAAAAACCATTCATTAAAATGATATGGATAATGTCTTCAAGCAAGGAAAATGAAAAAGTGGACTCCCATATTATTATTGATTGTGTTAAAAGAAATTCACTGGGAAACCAATGACAAAGAAAAACAAAACAGACAAGACAAGAAGGAGTAACCGGCAAATGACGTTGACAAATTCAGGTACAACCTTATTTCAATTTAAAAATCATACAACTGAAAAATGAAGGTAGGGGCATTTCTGGGCTCAAAGAGCTGGTTTGAGCATTGACACTTTTCTTTTATGATAAAAGCATTGAAGAGCTCCACTGAGGATAGTTTGCAAATAAATCAATTTTGTTTTAAAAATATGACTTTTACCCTTATTTGATAGAGAAAGCCAATATGCAGAGAGAGAGAGAGAGAGAGAGAGAGAGAGAGAGAGAGAGAGAGAGAGAGAGAGATGAAATGCATCAAATGGTCACGGCTGGGAGTCAAATCCAGTGATCAGTGCGTTTGTACATGGGGCGTCTGTTCTTCTCTGACTTTCCCAGAGGAAACCTTCCCAAGAAATTAATAAAGTTCCTATCTATCTATCTAATCTACTGTCTGAGCTAAACCGGCGCCCCAATATCACTTCGTTTTAGGGTCTACACGACCATTTTGTGACAATATAGGCATTTCACTGTTCAAATGTTTTTTTGAAATAGAGTTGTCATCAATTGTTACCGACACAAAGACGATGAGAAAATCTCTGCAACTCAAAAAATGTTGTAATATCATTTGGCCAAACACAACCACACCTTGAAGAGAATCACAACAGAATGAATAGTAAGTAGACCTCGTGAGAACAAGTGGGATCAAGTCAGTCTGAAAATCTATCATTAATTAGAATTAAACATGTGAAAATAAAAGAAAGTGAACTGGATGAGAGGAAAGTTAACATGTCTTCTGTTGTTAGACTGTAAAAAGTTAAAGATGTAAAGATGATCCTTTCAGTAATGTCAAAGCCAATGATGTAACAACACTGTACAGTAAACTATACAACCTTACAGACACTATCTTTGTGCGGCCTGTGTCTGAGAACAGCAGAGTTTACATCGTAGACTCAGACTACTCAGTGCATCTGTGACAAAGACCCCCACTGGTGAAATCCCCACTCCCAGCGCCAACTGGGACACAGCGTCTGATCTACACCTCTGGGCTGGAAAAAGTCACAGCAGCAACATCAGCAGATACATTAAATACACAAACTACAACATCAATAACTATTTCTGATATATTGAAATATGCCTTTTTATGTTCACCTGCAGTAAAACTTTGTATTAAAAGACGGCCAGCCCCTGTATACATATTTATTTCCCCCCCTTCTGTCATTTAAAACCTGCTGTAGATGTCTGGTATAAACACTTGGGGGTCATTACTGCTGGAGTGTAGCTTCAGAGGTGAAAACATAAGACTATCAGAGTGTTTTGCATGTTTATTATAAAAGCAACATTGAAATTGTATTTGAAAAGACAACAGAGGCATGGTTGTGTGGTTAAATCCAGAGTATTCATCTTTCTAATGCACTGCATATGTCTCCCTAACACAGGCTTACACACAGGGACACAGACGCACAGAGGCTCATTGGCTAATTCAATAATAAAGCAGACAGCGAGTGGAGTCAATAGACGGGCAGAAAAGAGAGTAACTCATCTCTAACAGTGTGCCGTCTCCTGAGTGTTAAAACATGTAAATTTATGTAAGAGCCCATTGGAAA